GGTTAATAGTTGTTAACTTATAACTGGTCAGCGGTTCCGATAATTAAATAATTCGAACATAAATAGTAGTTGTCTGTCTTTTGGTCTAAAAGTCGTATAACTCGAGATGACGGATAGGTCTTGTTCTCGTCAAGACCTGGGTTCAAGTCCTTAGAGTTAGAAAATGTTCAATGTTTTCGTCATTCTTTACCCAAATGAGCTGATTTTTTTTCTGAGTATAGTAAGCGGATAGAAGTGTCTATCCATCACAAAACAGACCATTTATGAACATAAAACAAACAATTTTTTTAACGCTATAAGTAAACTTTACAACGAGGTTTTTTCTGATAGTTATATGCTGATGCTATAGTATATTCTTTTATTTATTTAACCAGAAATGTAACTGATATGTAAGCCTAGTTTGAGACAAATTGTCCTCCATTATTCATACAGACATGAAGGCGCTGTTGAACAGAACGACATACTTTGCGACACATTTCTTCTGGTATCTGTTCACATGCTTCTTCGATTCTCTGTTTAAGCTCTTGAATGGAAGTAAGTGGCTGTTTAAACACCGTGTCTTTCAAATATCCCCAGAGGAAAAAGTCACATGGAGATCTCCACTTACGTCCTGTAGCAGTTCCAAGGTCCGAACTGCACAAATGAAAAATCAGTTCGATTGTCTATCATTCATCCTATAGAATCGCTAGAGCTAAAGAAACATAGTTCGCTTGAAAACTAACTTCTGAGTTTTGCAGCTGACAGATTTTACTTTTATTTCAGATGATGATGGTAAAAAACATAGCAGTAGCACAGGTCATCAACTACGTGCGTTCTCCACTATAAAATTTGAAATTACAAATGAAGCTAGTTTAAAACAATGTCATGAAATTGATAACAATGATTATATTGTTGCCAGTGGTACGACAAAGAAATGGTCTGAAATGAAATCAGATTATTCAGCATGGAATTTTGAATTGTTAACAATGATTGAAGAATCAAATAGATTAAAATCTAAATTTTTGTATGTGTGGTTAAAAGTTGGAAAAGTGTTCTGTGAAAAATTTGGTATGGATTACGTATCAATTAATACAGCACAACCAGCACTAGCCGCTTATCACTATGTATTATTGTTAGATAGTTCAGGGTCTATGAATGACGACAGATGGCAAAATTTATTCGCCGGTGTTAATAAATTAGTCAAAGCACGAATAACTAGCGGTACAGCTGATCGTTGTATAATTATAACATTTAGTAGTCATGCTGATTTCTTTTGTGTTGATAAAACAATGAAGGAGATTGATATAACAAAAACTCCATATAGTGGTATGGAAACGAAATTTGGTCCTGCATTTTAACGGATCAATGATCTGCTGGCAGGAATGAGACAACGACAACCCACACCTAATTTGAAGTATATAATTGTCTGAATGAGTGATGATCAAGCTGATTATCCAGAAAATGAAGTTAATCATTTAAAAACAATGACCATAGAAATCGAAGCATTTTGGACTGTACCTTTAGCTAAACAGAAGATGCCTGTCTTAGAATGGATCAACTGAAAATGAATGGTATTTATAAACAACTGGATAATGCTAGTGAACTAATTCAGGTTTACGCAGAAATTGCGCAAGGGTAAATAGTTTGTTTACAAAATTTGTCTCTTATTAACCCAACTTACGTTTACACGCTTTAGTCAAGATGTGTTTCTTCTTGTAGTTAGAATGCAACAAAAAACTGATCATCAAAAGCCTATCATTACAGAAATTTGCGCACCAAAAATTCGTTTCTTGCTTTCAGTTCCGCACTGCCACGCTTTTTTTGCTCTGCTTCATCGGACAACGAAACAAGAAAAATTTCATCCGGACAGTAAAATTTATCAGCTTTTTGCTGTTTCGTTTTTGTATTTTGTTATGAGAAGTAGATAGAAGTTAAAAAAATATATTGAATTTCTATTGTGACGTACATTTTTTTATTTTATTTTATTTTTCAGTGAGTGTAATTATGCTTCTTGTTCGTGAAAGAAACCGAAATGCTGTACTTGTATATCTTTTCCGTATTTTAGACACAGAAACACAGACAAGCAATCATTTTGCAAGATCCTAGACTAAAGCCAAGGGAAGAACGAGACAGTTCGAAAATCTAGATTTATCCTTGTCAT